GCCGGAGCCCAGCAGGTCGAGGCCGTGGTGGCTGGGAGCGGCCACTGCACTCCAGTCTGGATGACAGAGTGAGGCTCCAACTCAAAAACAAATAAACAAACAAACAAACAAAAAGTAAATGTGGCCAGTTGTGGTGGCTCACATCTATCATCCCAACACTTTGGGAGGCCAAGTGAGAGGATTACTTGAGGCCAGAATTTGAGACCAGCCTGGGCAACATATTGTGAATTCAACTCTACCAAAAAATTAAAAAATTAGTTGGGTGTGATGGGAGCTATTCAGGAGTCTGAGGTGGAAGGATCACCCTGAATCTAACAGGTCTAGGCTGGCTGGGGGTGGTGGCTCACACCTATGTAATCCCAGCATTTTGGCAGGCCAGGCGAAGAGGTTTGCCTGAGTCCAGGGGTTTGAGATCATCCCGGGCAACATGGCAAGACCTCATCTCTACAATAATTTAAAAAATAAGCCAGGCGTGGTGGCATACACCTGAAGTTCCAGCTACTTGGGAGGCTGTGGTAGAAGGATCCCCTGAGCCCAGGAGGTCGAGGCTGCAGTGAGCCATGATTTTGCCACTGCACTCCAGCCTGGGCAACAGAGTGAGACCCTGACTCAAAAAAAAAAGAAAGAAAGGAAAGACAAAAGCTAAAGTATAATTTAGGAGCTGCTGAAACCCTACTTCAGAAGCACTGTTCCAGGGCAGGAGCAGGGAGGGCTTGAGGGTGGGCTGAGCCGCTCGCGGTACCTGCGGTGAACATTTTTCCTGCCCCAGAGATCACCACGGCGCGACAGTCAGCGTCTTTTGCTATCTTGTTGAAGCACTCCACCATCTCGCTGTGGAGGGGCAAGGAGTGAGGAGCTGCCTGCGGGGCGGGAGTGCCCGAGCTCACGTCCATCTTCCCCTCACCCCACGGCCCACCCCGGCGGGTCGCTCAGCCCCGCTTCCGCCGGCCCGCGGGCCTCCAGCGTCTGCAGGCCGGACCTCCAGAAGGTCCTGTTCATGGCGTTCCTCTTGTCCGGCCGGTGGAGCTGCACGTGCAGAACGTGCTGCCGGACGGACGTCACTCGCAGGGACTCGTAGCTGTGGTCCGGAGCTGTCGGCTGCTGTCGGCTGTCGGCTGCTCCGGGGGCCTCCTCTCGCGCGGAGGAGCCCACGGGGCGGAGGCCGGGCTGGAGCCCCAGGGGGCTGGGGGCTGTCAGTCCTGGGCGGAAAGCAAGGGGGCGCCGCCGTGA